CCCCCCCCCCCCCCCCCCCCCGCGCCCCCCCCCCCCCCCCCCCCCCCCCCCCCCCACCCCCCCGGCGCCCGCCTTATATAAGTTGCATAATATAACTCGATACGATACATAGTTGTCTGTAAAAATTCTTTTAAATCTCAAAAGATTCTTATCGAGAGACAGTCGAATCTTTATAAGACAAGAAAAATAGGGCTCATTAATAACTCGACAACAGAAAAAGATAGAGACTTGCGATTTTCGGTAAACGAAAGAGGACAGTTGAGTTCATATTTTCATTAGCAAAAGTGCCTTTCGGAAAAATGTCTGGTTCCTTGGTGGCTAGAAGACAGTGTTAGGGAAGCTGTGCAAACATCTTATATTTTGGCATGGATAGGAGTAAGAGTTACGCGAGAAATGGTAATAGGTGAGGCTTCCAATAACAGCGCAGTCTGTAATTACTTTCCGCATAGACCTCATTAGCGATTAGTCTAAACTTTCTGTGCATCGTTTTATTAACCGGACAGTTCGATTTTAATACTTTCGAGCATGAATTTCAACCTTCTCATCAACTCATTCCGGCCATATGTTGTTATTCAAAATTCTATAAAGAAATTTAACATCAGCTTAAATTTAGACGGAGCGTTCTTATCGCCAGATAAATGTTGCAAACAAAGAAAACATAACATTGATCTGGTTGCATGATATTAAATGTCAATATTTACCGGATATAAGTTTACTTCGTGAAATAAATGATTATGTACGATTGTTCACCAAATCAAATGAATGCATTGAATATTTACAAACTATAAAAAATGAGAGAATAATCTTAGTATTATCAGACAACTATACTATTTTGCCAACTATTCATTTACTAGATCAAATTGATCATATTTTTTTGTTTTCATTGGATATAAATTTAATCGAAAACCATCAAATATTAATTAGACAATATTCAAAGATACTTGGTACATTTCATGATTATAAATCAATAATTAACAGTTTGAAAGCTTAATGGAAAAACGAGTAACAACGTGGAATATTTTTAACTCAGATAAATATGAAAAAACCTACGAGAGATTTAACAAAAGAACAAGCATCATTTTTATGGTTTGAAATATTAATAGAAGCGTTAAGAAACAAAGTTTTGTCCATAGATTAGTGAATAAAGTTGTACGTATCGAAAATATTGAGGCATTAAACACATTTCGTTTTTATATAATTGATCTTATAAACAACTTACATTTGAACATAAACAGTCAGTTGAAAATGAAATAAATTTAAATAGATCAATATTAAAATTTTATCGTGGACAAACAATATCGATTAAAGAATTTAATAAATTAAAAAATAGTATTGATAGTTTGATATCATTAAATGGTTTTTTATCAGCAAGTCAAAGTATTGATGTTGCATTAACTTTTACTACAAAACCAATAAATAGATCTGATATTGAATCAGTTTTATTTGAGATTGATATAAATATTGAAATGAATAAAACGATAATATTTGCAGATATAGCAAAATATAGTTATTTTTCAGATGAAGAAGAAATTTTATTTAATATTGGTTCGGCTTTTAGACTTTCTCGTATTTATTACAATAAAACAAATAATGTTTGGTTATTCAAGTGATAGCAACCACAGACGGAACACAACTAGCTGATGAATATAAAATATATCTCATAGAACAAATGAAAGATACAAATATTATCGTGTTATTTGGACGGCTTTTATCTGATATGGGCGAGTATAAGGAATCTCAAACGTATTTTTCAAAATTTATTTGAAAGTTACAATGCTAATGTTAAACACTAAAAACAATGATATGGAAAATTCGAAACTTATTGTCAGCATCTATGTTCATACGGGAGTAAATTATTATCGAAAAAATGAATTTAATGTAGGATTTTATTATTCAAAGCTTGCTGAAGATATACAACAAAAAATATATCCAAATGGTCATTTAGATTTAGCTCGAACTGTTAACACACTTGGTGCAATTTACTTTATGAGAGGCTGCTATAACTTAGCTCTTAGTTATTCGAAAAAATCTCTAAGTATAAGTGAAAATATGTTATCTTCGAATCATCCCTATTTGGGCGTACTTAATATGAACATTGGACTAGTTTTCAATGAAATGGATGAAGTTGAGCTAGGAATTAATTTTGGAAAAAAAGCAATTGAAATTTACGAGAAAATTACACCGTCTGCTCATGGTAATATGGCACAGGCGTTTATAAATCTCAGTCATTCATATGACCTCAAAGCTAATTATTATCAAGCATTAGAATTGCATAAGAAAGTCAGCTCAATATTGGAAAAAATACTTCCATCAGACCATCAACTAAATGCACATAATTTATGTAGAGGTGGAAAAATTTATTATCATTTAAATCAGACTGATCTAGCATTAGAATGTGAATTAAAAGCGTTGAATATTTACGAAAAATATTCCAATAACACACAGATAGCAACGGATCATTCAAATAAAACGTCCGATTCTTCGTTGAGATACGACGGTTTATGTTAGATGTTCATATACAGGGTGATTTTGCCCATTAATTGTCGCGATTTTGGTAGTATGGGATCTTCCGTAAATTGAATGCTGTTTCATGAGAAAAGCTTTTCGAGACATCTCATCTCGGAGACGTCTCATTTCGTCCAGAAATCTTTGCTCTATTCGAATAAACTAATGGTAAAAAGTTCAATTATATTTGTACACAAGAAAGTCAAATACACAGGGGGTAAGTATTTTTTGGATCACCCTGTACTGCTCGCTTTATGATTTGCACAATTTTTTAATACCTAATTGAACCTATTCGTAGTAACAATCTTAGATAGTTCTTAAAATGATCTTACCTTTTGTGTTGGACACGTCGATTACCATAGTCGCTAATGTATATTGTTCCATCGTGATCGATATCAATAGGTTAATTCAATTGAACATCACGGGTTCCTGTCGTTTTCCACCTGCAGCTAACCGATCACTCGAAACTCCCATTTCACGCTCCCATTTCATCACACGATTATTATAGCGGTCTGTCACATAAATAGTTTGATGCTCATCAACAAATAATCCAAATGGTCCATCTAGCTGATTGAATTCTGATCCGCTGCCGATAACATCAGCCACAGTTCGGCCGTTTTGAGCCCATGTCGCAGTTGCACAAATACCCTCATCAAGTATCACTCGTGAAGATAGAGCTAAGGGAGTGGAGAAGGCAAAAGGTGTCAATCTATTGAATACAACAGATTTTTTTCTTGGTGACTGAGTTGCAATTTGATTCTATTTTACCACTATCCGAAAGATTATGATTGATCGGCACCTTGAACACTATATCTTTATAAGCTCTGACATTTTATATTACAGTGAAAGATTCTTCTAGCAAAAATGATAAACAGAGAGGCGAGCTTTGCTGTGCGATTTCTATGAGATACATTCAAAATCAATGAAGCAGAAGTGTCAGTATTAATGGTCGTTGTCAAATGAATAACAACTATTCGTCGAATTAGGGTACACATATGTCATCTTGATTTATCTCAAAGATTAAACAATGGAAACAGTTGAGTAGTGGAAAAGTGAGATAAATCTTAAAAATAGTCTATTATCTGAAAAAGTATTCGGTGTGACACGCAGAACAGTCTTTAGCTCTTGTTCTATCAGTTCTTCTATCCAGCAACAGTTTTCAGAGAAAAAAGAAAAGAGTGTGTTTTTAGCCGAAAACTTTTGCAACGATAAAAGTGTTTCAAAATCTTTTGAAAAGTTGTCAAGGTCCTAGAACTACTGAGCTATCACTTTAAATCGCTATTCATTAAAAAGATTTTCCTGTGCAGAAGGAGAAACGCTCATCACTTCTGAGACTGAAAACCTTTGATTAACAGGGACTATGCTATTGGCAAGGAAAAAACTGATAGTCAATTCTGCTGTTAGATGAACGTTTCTTCTCTATCAGCTGAATCATTTCAATTTTGACTACCTTCCGAAGTTCTCCACATCATTCTATATCTGGTGAAGTCCTCATCTGAATCAACGACATACAATTTTACTCTTGTCCGTGTAAATTAAAATAATGATCCTATCAAATAATGTAGTTTGTATATTTTCTTCATTTAAGTAGAGATTTTATCTCTAAAAGAAGTGAAACCACTAGTAAAGTTGATGATGAAGATGAGCCGCTCTTGTTTTTTGTAATCTCACCCCAATGATATTTTGTTTTTTTTAAATTTTCTTGTACTAGAGGCTAAAACACTTACTGGCGTTGTGGTTGACGTGGTCATGGTCGTAGCAGTGCTTGTGATTGGTGTTATTGTAGTGTTTGCTGCTATGTATCACAAGAAAACACTGTTTAATCAAATAGCTTTTGAGCAGATACATCTAGTTTCAACATTCAATGGAATAGACGTATCAGAAGATTTCGAGAAGAATAACACCATAGATTGGTCAGAAAAGTGAACTTGTCACCTCAAACCCACCTGTTGAAAGATGGGAACCTTTCGGCTACATCTGGGAATTTAAGAAGAACATTTATGCACCACGTTGTTTCTTTCAAAGATACATGCCTGTATATATTTTTGATTTATTAAAGTCTAGTTTGAGCTGGACATGTGAAACTCCACGTATCTTCTACAACTAGAGACTTCATTCGATCCTTGTCTCTCACGATGGATTGAGCTTCTAAAGTTTTTCGCTGAGGCAACTATAGTGAAGCTGAAGTTTATTTCATGCAGTCTCAAGAGTAGAAGCGAACTTTGGGGCTTCGTTTGAACTTTGTTGGACATTTGAACTTTTTCGGATATTTTTAAAGACGTTTTTGGGCTTCAGGTGGACTTTTGGATTATAAATAGACTTTCACAGTCAGTCCCTAATGAGGCTAAAATGTGCACACGAGAATGTGTCCCTATCAAACAAGAACAGAAATGAGAGAGACAGAACAAGTTCGGATTGAAACTTACACTCACTGTTTTGTAGTGAGTTTCACAAAAGTCCTTCCATCGTGTACATTCTACTCAACGCAAAATTCGAGTTCTGTCAACCTGGCCGGCTTACGACCTTAGATTAAACCTTGCCTCTGATTAGCTTAAAAAATTACTACAAATACCCGAAAGTATTTTCAAGAGGTAAAATTGTTTTGTTTCCATTCATGATCACTTGATCGAGGAGTACAGCATTTTAAAAATAATGAGCTGGCTATTTAGCTGAGATGTTGCGGTATTGTTAGGATCAATAAAAAAGCAAGCGAAAGGGTGGAGATAAGAAACATGTCGGAAAGCACCGTGGCAAGTTCATCAAAACTACCTGGCAAAACATGCCCTGAAAATGCGACTGAAAATAGAAGAAACCAAAAAATGGACGAAAATACTCAGAAAAACTTTTTCACGGATCCAAACACGAATGTTACTGATTCAAGCACAGATGTTACCGATGCGAACACCAAGCATTTGGATTTTAATTTCCACTTATACATCCTAGTCTTTCAGTCTACGAAACAATAGCACATGCACGGTTCATCTAGGCAAATCAGGCTGCATATTTCTAAGTAAGTTTGTTCCAATCTTCTTCTTTGTATTCAGAGGTCTCGAAAAAAGCTACATGAATGGTAGAAAACTTGCCAGGCTAAGGTTCCGAGTGGTGGGCAGAAAAAATGAGGGATCGAAAGATGTGTGCCGTACGGTTATCAGAACTAGATTGTATACGAATCGAGCTAAACAATCGAAAAATGTCAATTCGAACAGATCGGCTTCAAATGATTCAAATTTGTATGGCGAAATATCCATTGAAAGGCGGCTTACTGAATTTCGAATGAAGCACGGTTTTATCGCAGAGTTTGTGTCACAGTTATGTTAAGATTTTGAAAACTGAACTAAGCGCCAACGAATAGTATGAGAGCTGCTGGAGAATTTTTTCATTTTTTTACCCCTTGAAAGTAGTCTAGGCTGGTAAAATTCTATGGGTGCAAACTAGAATTTTCTGCTCTGAACTTTTGTGAAACGTGATCATTAATGAGTATTGAAGTATATAGCAAGAAAGTTGGAGCCCCTGTCCCTCCTTCCATAAACCGCGACAGACAAGTCGATATGCCTTTCACTCTATCACGGACTCTGATCCATGTGGCGGTGGTTTTTGAATGCGATTAAAACAGCTACATCATATATCATATTTTAATCCAGTCGGAAATGCTTTGAAAGGTTTTTCAATCGTCTGAAATAAGTCCAAGTGGGCCTAAAATACACAAACTATTGTCGAGAAACTACGGTCTATCGGGTGTGTCGGAATTAGTGTTTCATGTTTTTGAAATGTTTCCTCACTACTCTTGAACAAAACTGGCACACAACATTTTTGAACTCATATTCGGAAAAAGCACTAGATTCTGGCATTGATCCATAAATTTTCACTCGTCTAGAATACTTTATCGTCACATTTCGTCTGGAAATTTTCCGACCATCCGTTAGATTTTTCCACAGAATTCTATTCTACAAGTAGTAAACCAAAAGAAATTGTTATCATGAAACGAGTTCGTTGCTAGCGCCATTCACTATGAGTCGCCTCTTTTATAACTATCAATGCAAGTTTTGACTTCTCTCTAGATGTACGATCATGCATTCAGTTCATACATGATGGTATCGAGACAATCTATCGAAATAACGCGTACTCCAATGTAAATAAATATTGATCATTCGTCTTATGTATATTTTTAATTCTTTTATCTCAATCAGTTTGAAATAGTCGAATCTACAGGTACATCAGGACACCTCATATGTGAGCATGTATGATCTGCCGCAAAAGTGCAGACGTCTTTTCCGGCTTTGGGTGCTGAGGATCAAGATTGGTACTACGAGATTGAGAGTCACTGAGAATGAGAAGTAAATATTCAGTGCACTACTAGACATATCCTAAAGCGGAACATTTAGCGCTCACATGGGGAGACAAATAGATGAAATGTTTAGTCACCCTAATTCTAACAGACACATTTCTTGTGTAATCTACGGCTTGTTCTATGATGTTTTACCATTCTAATCGCAAATTTGTTTTTCTTGTGATCATACAAGGAGTTGCGAACAATATTGCAAATATGCGTGACCATTTGAACAATGTCAAAATGAGTGATGATCATTGATATTGGAATAAAGCCCATCATTTCCATTTGGATAGGTGAAACCATGAACGTAATTATACCAGTAACAACCGATAAGAAAGTAAACGGTGAGTCGTACCATTTTTATCTCAAACTACTACGCAATTTATTATGTCAGGTGAGAACAATGAAGTAGTTTCTTTTCGCAGATGTTTCATTTTACATGCATACTCATACTTGACAAGCGACGAATAGTTTATCATTTGCAAATAGTGACGCGGCACATAAAATCCTTCATTCACTACAGAGATTTGAATTAGATACGTTTCAGACACTTTCCACTTTCATCGCTGTTTTGGCGTATGATGTCTAACTGTTATGTCCTGCGACCTTTTCGCGTTACATAATATCCGATCACATTGATAAAACGTATAGCTTTTTTCGAGACCTCTGAATACAAAGAAGAAGATTGGAACAAACTTACTTAGAAATATGCAGCCTGATTTGCCTAGATGAACCGTGCATGTGCTATTGTTTCGTAGACTGAAAGACTAGGATGTATAAGTGGAAATTAAAATCCAAATGCTTGGTGTTCGCGTCGAACTCACAAGACCTTTCAGAAAGCTTTTAGACGTTCTATTTTCTTAATTATAGAACCAGCACACTCGAAAACCTATAAAGGTGTCAAAATAGACCGGTTTCGAGAAGTTTTTGTTTAAAACCCAATAAAGTTTTCTGGAGAACCATTTTACAAAAACCCCATCGTTCCAAAAAGTGATCTATAGGAAAGAGCACATGCGAAAACCGATAAACACTGAATTTTGAGTTGACAGGATCCATTTCACATGTCCGCTTGTGTAGCAAAAAGTGAGAACATGACTGACAGAATCGATCACCACAATTGATTAATTGCACAGGTGCTCTTAAAAGTAACTTGCATTGTGGACAAATAAATTTTGAAGTTGACGTGTGTTAACAGCGTTGTATCCGCACTCCCATTCTCTTCTACACGGATATTTCAACTCAAAAGCATCTATATTATCGCTCTTCCAACTGTATTCAAACTGTGTCACACCCTGAAAAACATAAACTAAATTATAGGCGAAGCTGAAGATTTCTTATATAATACGGCCATAAACCATCTTGCATTTTAAGTATATTTTTGGTATTATAATAGCTCGGAAGTTCGAGAAATTTTACTTAGCGAAGCTGGATCTGCAGCACCATGATATCTTTATACTTTTCTACTCACTAGATACAGTGACAGATGCAGCTGGCTGCTTGAGTAAACGAGAAAAGTTGAATCGAGTATCGCTCGATGCAGCTAGATGTGGACGATGAACTGTTAGAAGCATCGATCAGAAAACGATAAGATTGTGTACGTCTGTACTTTTGCGGCAGATCATCCATGCTCACATATGAGGTGTCCTGATGTACCTGTAGATTCGACTATTCCAAGCTGATTGAGATAAAAGAATTAAAAATCCATCGATAGTAAGAGAAAAACGAGCTCAGTCGTACTTCTACTCTCTGCTTACTTCTTGGTACTTTTATCATTGATACTATAGAATTCTGAACATTTTTTTCATGTGTCCCGTCTAATTGATCTCTGAATATGTAAAATAAGAATTAAGAAACGTGGGCCATAAGACGAATGATCAATATTTATTTACATTGGAGTACGCGTTATTTCGATAGATTGTCTCGATACCATCATGTATGAACTGAATGCATGATCGTACATCTAGAGAGAAGTCAAAACTTGCATTGATAGTTATAAAAGAGGCGACTCATAGTGAATGGCGCTAGCAACGAACTCGTTTCATGATAACAATTTCTTTTGGTTTACTACTTGTAGAATAGAATTCTGTGGAAAAATCTAACGGATGGTCGGAAAATTTCCAGACGAAATGTGACGATAAAGTATTCTAGACGAGTGAAAATTTATGGATCAATGCCAGAATCTAGTGCTTTTTCCGAATATGAGTTCAAAAATGTTGTGTGCCAGTTTTGTTCAAGAGTAGTGAAGGAACATTTAAAAAACATCTGTTAGACAAAAACAGCTGTTAAAAGTGATGTTAACGATGTGACTATACTGTATCTTTACATAAACTAATAGAAAACATTGTCGGAACTTCTTTGTAATCTTTGCCTTCATTATACGTATACAGTGTTTTCCAGAAATGTCTGTACAATTTTTTGTGA